TTACCACATAAAAGGAATGGAATGACTTGACTATACTCTGGTCGAAGTGGAAAGAAGGTCTGGTCAGCAGTGAAGGCCCTTGGAACGGTTACTCAGGGAGACAAGAGGGCCCAGCCGGGTTGGACCTGGGAGAAAGGTTGAGCTGTGCTATGAGGCAGGTTACATATGGTGGATTCACATCTCACACAAATGTAGGCTAAAGTCACCGTATCTTACAAAAATACTGTTAAAAAATGTGTAAGACAATAAGGGAAATAGAAATATTAACTAAATACTCAATAACATTAAGTAATCGATTTTTAATTTTTTTATTTATTGCTTTTTAGAGAGAGAGGAAAGGAGAGGGAGAGAGAGAAACACTGATGAGAGAAAACACTGATTGGCCACCTCCTGCATGCCTCCTACCAGGGACCGGGCCCATAACCTGGGCATGTGCCCTGACCGAGAATCAAACCGGTGACCTCTTGGTACATGGGTCAGTGTTCAACCACTGAGCCACACTGGCCAGGCTAAATAATTATTTCTAATTTTTAAATGTTGTAATAATTTTTTATTGCTGCACAACAGTCACCACAAACTTAGTGGCTTAAAACAACACACATTTGTTATTTCATAGTTTCCATGGGTCAGACCAGGCATGGCTTATGGTGTTAGGTAGGGTTGGGGTCTCCAGCTCATGTGAACACTCAGCTGAGGGGAAAGATCTGCTTCCAAGCTCACTCAGGTTGTTGGCAGCATTCAGTTCCTTGCTACTTGTAGGACTGAGGGCCTCATCTTCATGATGGCTATCACTAGAGGCTCCTCTCAGCTACTAGAGGCTACCTGCAGTTCCTTTCAGAGTTCCCCAACATGGGACCTTGCTTCTTCAGAGCCCCAAGGGAGAAAGAGACTCCAACAAGACTAGTTCTACAGTCTTAGTAACATAATCATGTCCACATAATCACATATGTCGTACCTCATTAGTTAGAAGCAAGTCACACTCAAGGGCAGATGATTATACAGCACATGAACTGGAGGAGGCAGGAACCATGGGGGTTACCTTAAGATGAGTCTGTCTTCCATAGATGTGATATTGGTCTTGAGGTTACTAGTTTTTTAAGAGCCCTTATATTTTAGAGCTAAATACTGAAATATTTGCAACAAAAGAATATGATATCTGTGGGATTTGCTTCAGAATAATCCCGGGGGAGGGGAAGTGGGTTGAGGCATAAATAATTGGCCATGAGCTGAAAATTGTTGAATCTGGTAGGTTTATGGGAGCTCATTATATGATTTTCTCTACTTTTATATATGCTTGTAATTTTCATAATGAGGTTTAAAAGATAGCCTGCACATTAGTTATCTGTTGCTACAAAACTAATTACCTCACAAATTAGTGACTTAAAACAACAAACATGTATTTTCTCAGTTCCTGTGGGTCAGGAACCTAGTACAGCTTAGCGGGGTGCCTCTGGCACAGGGTCTCAAGGCTGCCGTCAAGGTGTGAGCAGGACTGCAGGCATCTGAGGCCTGATGAGCTGGAGGGTCTGCTTCCAAGCTCATTCATGCGGCTGTTGGTCAGGGGCTCAGTTCTTTGCTCATGACAGGCAGCTGGCTTCCCACAGAACAAGTGCTGAGAGGAAGAAAGAAACACACAAAAGTCAACCAGAACAGAAGATGCAGTCTTCTATAACCTAATCTCAGAAGTGACATACCATTACTTATGAATATTCTATTGGTCACACAGACCAACCCTGGTGCAATGTGGGCATAAGGGTCTTCATGGCAGAAGGCAGGATCACTGAGAGCACTTTGGAGTCAGGCTACCATAGGGTATAAGGCAAAAATTGAGTATTGGCAAAATTATCCTTGAAGATCCTATAAATAACCAATAAAACATAGTGGATAGTTACACCAGTGTGCAAGCCCAACACTGCCAGGTTTTTTTCTCCAGTGCTGGAACACATCACTGTTTTATCAAGTGCTAGATAAAATTGTTGGCTTGAACTAGGAAATGGTTGTTCCAAAAATAAATACATATTTTCTTCTTTTTTAATTTTTTTCCTTTTTGTTTCAAAACTAAACATATTTAAACACTAAAATCACATTTGGCTCTGCCCTGAGCACATAGAGTTAAATTCAAATAAATTAAGTGCAGTAGAATAGAAGTCCAATGCATTGTTCAAGTGAGGAAACTTATCATGTGTGATGACATCTGCCATTTAGGTCCATTTTGCTGACTCCTTATTTTAGCTCCATAGCCACCAAACAGCTTTCTAGTTATAATGTGGTTTCCCAAACAGACATGCAAACAAGGAGAAAATGCTCTGATCTAAGCCATTCCATGGTTACATTTCTCATTGTATAATTAAGAATTGGTATTCTGGTTATATATATCAGTCTCTATGTGTTAGGTAAATGTGAATGTGCACCTCAGAGATAAATTCACTCTTGGTGCATTTACACGATGGGCTTTTGAGCCTGCACCCCTGAGTCTCTAGACTGTGATGAGTTTACCCAAGTAATGCCACTCAAGGGGGAACCATCTGAATGACCTAAAAATCTTCCCGAGTTGGGATAGCTATATTTAATGTACACAGAGTATATCCATGAGCTCCCCCAAATTTCTCAGGTCCCTTGCTATTAGATGAGGGAAAGTAACCAGTTTTGGTCAATAGGCTGTGAGCAGAGCTGACACCTGTCACTTCTGAGCCAAAACAGTGGGATCTTCATATACTCTTTCCTCTTGCTGCAGTAACCATGGAGGCCACATGTTGAGATGGCAGAATGCAAATTGGCCTGGGTCCCTACAGGACCATAATGAACAGAACCCCTTCTGACCTGTGCTAATTAAGCAAATTATGAGTGCAAGTGAAAGTTTGTTATATTAAGCCACTGTGATTTTGTAACTATTTCCTACATTAGCATAACCCAGTCTAACTCAATACACCAGAGGATGCCAACTTTGCAGAGGGCATGTTTTTTGATCAATGGTAATGTTACAGTTGAGTGCTGGGATACATGTCCAACAATCTCTCCCCACACACCCCTATGCCCACTCTTGGTGAGAGTAGATAGGTAAGAAGTGGGCAGAAGCAGAAGAGGCAAGGAAAAAGCTGGCAGGACTAGAGATTTTAAAGCACCCTCAAACCTGCCCTGCTCATAGCAGAAAACTCACTCTACACAGTGTGCTAATTCTAGAGGCTCTATGTTCCTGCTACCCAAAAATGGCATTTCATTTCCTCTTGTTTATCTATTTGGGTGTTCCTGTCCTCCCCCACCCCTGCTCCTGCTTCCCTGGAGGCGACTTTTGGAGCACTACAGCCACTGTGGCCAGTCAGTTTTCAGCATGCTGACCGAGTAAACACAATAAATATAACAGTTGCCTTGACTATTTGGACTCAGCTGTCCATTGCTAAATGGAAAAAGTTTTAAATCACTTATAAAAGTAACTATAGGGTTTGAAAATGTAGGATGAAAGGTCAACTCAGATGCTTCGAATAGCAACTTTCATGCAAAAAAATAATTTAGAGTAATTTCAAGGACTTGTTTCCCCAAAATAGCTATTAAGAACTTGGCATACATTTGAGAAATAATATTCAGACCCTTTCAACTATGCTTTTATATAAAATTATTCATACAATTCAGTCCTAGGTTGGGAAAACCTCGCACTTTGTGAAAACCCTCCAGTGATTCTTGCCCTTGGTGTCAGAACCAACAGATGAGTTGTGATGAGATGTGCAGTGTGTGGTGGGTCATTGGTTCCTCACTAAGCTAAAGTACTGAAGCTAGTGAATTATCTTCTTCATTGCAAACTAGGGGAAACACAAGATTACTTGTGTAATAAATTCACTCTTACATGCCTTAGCAAAAATAAATAAAAATAGAAAACATGGTGCCCTGGCTAGGTGACTCAGTTGGTTGGAGCATCGTCCGGTACAGCAAAAGGTGGCAGGTTCGATTCGCAGTCAGGGCACATACCTAGGTTGCAGGTTTGATCCCGGGTCCGGGAGCATATGGGAGACAACTGATTGATGTTTTTCTCTCACATCAATGTTTCTCTCTTCCTTTCTCTCTCTAAAACCAATAAAACATATCCTCGGGTGATGATTTAAAAAGAAAAAGAAAACATGGTAGCATTAAGGTGAAAAAACTTGGGACAGGAATTTCTAATCGGTCAGCTTACAGTTTTTGAGATGGCTGAAAACTGCCAAGAGTGAGATCCTCTTAAAGAAACACTCTTGCCCTGGCAAGTTTGGCTCAGCAGTTAGAGCTTCGGCTGGTGGACCAGAGAGTCCCAGGTTCGGTTCCTGCTAAGAGCATGTACCTCAGTTGCAGTTTGTCCCCAGCCCCGGTTGGAGTCATGTGGGTGGCAGCCAGTCGATGTGTCTCTCTCACATCAATGTTTCTCTCTCTCTCTCCCCCCCCCTCTCTGAAGATAAATGCAAAAATGTCCTCAGGTGAGGATAAAACAAACAAAAAAAGAAACACTCTTAATGACTTTAGAAAGTCCCCATCCCAAAGTCAGTTATAGGTAATCAATATTACAGATTTAACTTAATTTTAATTTTTGTTAAAATCCACTTTATTAAGGTAAGAGAAGAATCCCTTTTAAGTTATCACTGTAAAACTGTGTATTACATTACTTTTAGTGTTTCTTCAGATTGTATAAATCTTTTGCTTTTAATTTTACTACCACACTAATACATATACATTTTTTTAAATTTCTGGGTTTTTTAAATTATTTAGTCATATGTCCTGATTTTTAGTTATTGAACATAAGTGTGTTCCAGTAAAGGAAATAATTTTTATTAGATACATTAAAATTTTTCCTAGTCTTATTCTCCACACATGAACTGTTTTCACTGTCTATCTTCATGACCCACCCTTGTCCACACAAATTCATATTCTCATAGCATAGCATTGCTTATATTTTATAATCTGTAATTTTCTTTCTTAGTATTATATCATGAAATATTTTTCTATATCTCCACATAGTTGTTAGATCTTTTTAATGGCTGCAAAATATTCTATCACATTAACCTAAGCTTAAATGGTTTGATTTTATTCCTCATGATTTTGTTCCTCATTCTGTGATCAGTAGACAAAGACAACAACATTATTCTTTGTTACTGGTTACATACATTTCAAATACACTCAACAGGTAGAGCCAAACTCCACAGTTGATTAGTCAGGACTCATTATTAACTCTCCATTGAGATGTTTTCATTTTTCTGTTTCTAATGTGAGGATCAAGTAGACTACTGTACTATGCAAGTTTGCTGCAGGTAGCCCCTCCCATTTCTCTCCATGAAGACAGCGTTCAGGAGAGCAGCATCTCAGCACAGCCACCTCTAGGCTGTCAGTGTGCCCTCCAACACCACAGCTGCGCCTCCCCTAATGTCAACTCGTCCATTGGGACATAATGAAATCTCCAGTTCTCCTCCTCGGCTGGAACACTGAAAGGCTGAAGAAAACAAAACGAATCACAAATTAAGATCGTTGTCACCCTTTTAAATTAACAGAACCTAGTAAGACACCTCTTATTACAAGCTCTAGAATCCTCCCTGGTCAATTTAAAGAATAAATTCCGCCCTGGCCCGTTTGGCTCAGCGGTTAGAGCGTCGGCCCGCGGACCAGAGAGACCCGGGTTTGGTTCCCGCTAAGGGCATGTACCTCGGTTGCAGTTTGTCCCCGGCCCTGGTTTGGGTGGCAACCACTCGATGTGTCTCTCTCACATCGATGTTTCTCTCTCTCTTCCTCTCTCTCTCCCTCCCGCTCTATCTGAAGATAAATGCAAAAAAAAAAAAAAAAGAATAAATTCCTTCACCTGTCCATGGTACTGCCCAGCCCAATTGGTTCTCTGGAAGACTGAGAGGCCACAAATGCAATTTGATCCACAAAACACACAGCCCTGGGTCTTCCCTTCCTGAGTTACTTCCTGTCTCACCTCTGGTAATGCCCCAGACACACCCCACCCACAGCTTCCTCCCTGCTCTGCCTAGGAGTAAGCAAGGACATGTGAAAAGACAGACACATGAACTAGATATCTAAGAAAACAAAGGGGGTGGTCTTGGCCCAACTGAGAAGGCCCCATCTTTCCAGGTCTGAATAAGACAAAGGGAGTTCATTCATCCATTGTGGTTATCAAGCAACCACACGTGTCAGGCACACAAAAGGCACAGCCTCAGCCTTCCTGAAGCTCAGTGCTTAAGGGAGTAACTAGTCTCACCTAAGAACAGCTACCTGCTATCCCCAAATCAGGCTCATAGAGGCCTAACCCTCACACTAAGTAAGACCTGTACCCTTTAAGGTCAGACTCCTATTTTGATTATTAGGGATGTGTAGCCTCCATTGTCTGAGATCTATTTTCTCTATCCCTGAGCAATATATTAATCACCAGGGGGCTTGGTTCAAAAGCAATTTGTTTGATTCAATCCTGTGACTAGCAGTAGCATAAGAACCTTACTGATCATCTAATCTCAACTTGTCACATCATAAATAAGTTCTCTGGGCCAAAGTTACATAGCTAGTTAATTTTATTCAAACAAACATTTATTGGGCATTTACTGTACTAGAAGTGTGTTGGGAGAGACAGAGGTGGAAAATGTTTGGGGTAGAAGATAGTTTGTTTTGTTTTTAAAGTGTTTGTTTATAAATTAAACAGTATATTAGACATGTATATAAGAAAAGTTAACATGGAATCATGTTAAGGGGTCTGAAACAGATTAATTCAATTTACATTTTTTTTATTTTTTTATTTTTGTTACAGATGTTTCTCCTTTTTCCCCCATTGACACCCTACTCCCATTCCCACCCCCTCTCACCCCCACCCCGGGGTAGAAGATATTTTGAGTAGAAGGTTAGAGTGAAGGAATTTAAACACCTTTCATTTTCACATTTTACTATATCTTCAGGTGGACAGTACATATGAGAAGAAGTACTAGGTTAAGGTTAGGCAATTTTTTTAATTGAAAAAGAACTGTCCTACCATGCATATGTTTCTTCCCCAGTTGCTGGGACCAGTAGCTGCTGAGAACAGCATGTGCAGACCCTTAAAATAAATGAAAAGTTATGATACAATCTCAAAGGAAGGAGGGACAACTTTGAGGTAAGTTTATAAGCAATTATAATCAACTATCCGGCTACCTTAGATGACTTAGTCATTATGTTGGCATGGCCACAGCAGAGTATGAATTATGAATGGAGACAGAAAGGAAGGCATAGAATTTATGGACAAGCTCCTCCAAATGATGCTATGTCTTACACTTTCTGAAGGCTGAATTAAACTGCGGGTTTTAATCTTTGTCCTGTCTATAGGTCACTTTCAGCCCATGGCTGGAAAATCAAGTCCTTCACATAAGTCTTTCTACATCTTTCAAGGGAGAAGACTTGCTTCCTCCTAGGATGTGCATGCAAGGAAAGATGGGAACTCTGACAAAATGCCAAATTTTCTACCAAGCACATATTCCCAGACTTTTGTTGGTGAAAGAACTCTTTCAGTGAGGTATTTTTTTCACATGATTGTACCCTAGGTTTAGATCAGAGAATAGATAGTAAAATGAAGGAACAAACTATAAAGTAGTAACTGTCAGAAAAGCCTTTGGGGAGAAAAAGGCTGGGTTTGAAAGGGCCCCTCCTTCAAGAAAACTTACCAAATGTTATGGAAAGTCCATACAGTGGGACCAACCATCCCCATTTGCCTGAGACTGTCCTGGATTTAGCACTGAAGGTCCTATATGCTGAAAAATCCCCCAGTTTCAAGCAAACTGAAATGGTTGGTCATCACTGTCCAAAGACCTTCCCATTCTATAAAAACATTATCACGGGAGGGGAAGATTGCCTTCTGTGTCAATTAAAATCTTTGTAAAGCATCTGTGCATGTGTAATCCACTCAGAACTTCTTTTCCATGGGGGAAGGGTTGACTTGGACTGTTTGGATGTCATTTGGGCATTTTCCTGAGTCTTTAAAAGTGCTTGCTTACTGAGCTTTTAATTTCACATGTTTTGTTCCTTAGAGAGTAACTAAGTCATCCCAGCCCCTGCCATCTGACCCAAACAGGAGCCTGGAAGCATCTGCCCAGCCTTCTTTCTGCCCTGGCCACCATCCCATGCACCAGCCTCCTCCATCAAGCATTGCCCCCTTTTGCTGCTCAGCCCACCCTTCTCAGAGAGGATGAAAGTAGGAGGCTTCACACTCTTGCCCATTGTAGAGCTCATTCATATCTCTGCTTCTGGCTGGTAGATCTTGAATACCCCTGTTCCCAAACTCATCCCACCCACTTTGGAGGCAGGTTTGGGAAAGATGGAGGAGAGGAAAAGAAGCACTATTCCTGTCCCTATTTCCCAAATGCAGCCCAGGAGTCTATCCTTCAAAACCAAATCTCATCTAGATGTCAGTGATCATGCAGGATGGTCACTGAAAAGGACAAAAGACATTGGCCCCTGAATTTCACAAATGGCAGATCTGGAACTGTTTGCTCAGGGAGCCAGTTTCATGGTTATCACTCAAATAGCTAATAATACCTGGCTGGTGTGGCTCAGTGGATTGAGCATCATCCCATGGACTGAGAGGTTCTGGTTCAATTCCTGGTCAGGGCACATGCCCAGGTTGCGGGCTCGATCCCCAGTAGGGGGTGTGCAGGAAGCAGCTGATCAATGTTTCTCTCTCACATCCATGTTTCTCTCTCTCTCCTTTCCCCTCTTTCTAAAAAAATCAATAAATTTAAATAAAAATTTTAAATTATTAATAAGAATAAGAATAATAAAGCTAATAGTTATTGGGCACTTATCATGTACCAGGCACTGTGATAAGTACTTAACTTGCATTGGTTTACATAGCCCTGTGGGACATTATCTATATTTTATAGAGGAGGGAATGGAAACTTTTAAAAGTTAAGCCATTTGCCCGAGGTCAACAGCTAGGACACTGAGATGCAAGCCCAGGTTGACTGACACTGAGGTTTAACCCTGCTATACTGCGTTTTTCACATGAGACATCCATAAAGGGATGGGGGAGGGGAGGTAGGGGAACAAAGGCAGCTCAAAACCCAAGCAGTCTGAAAGGTCGCATGAAGGGCATTTAAACAGCTATTTGTTATCCTCCCCCTTCATTGTTTAACCCTCCCCAGGACCCATATCAAAAATTACCTGTTACAGGGTCTTCTGCCACACCAACCCATGGTGCAAAATATCTGGAGTAAAAGTCAAATGCCTGGGTCTGCCCATCAGGCTTTCCTTTAAGGGTGAGAATGAGTCCTTTCACCTTCCCTGTGTTCTCTACTTGCGGCAGATTCTGTGTGTTCACTTTCAGGTTCTCCAGAAATGACCTTGTTCATAAATGGGATGGATTAGGGCAAACCCATTCCATAGACTCCCGCTTCCCCCCACCCACTACATAGACTCTGTAAAGCATGCCAGGGCGTGACTTACCCAAATATATCAGCACGAGGGGAGGGAAGGGCAAGTGGAATGCCTTCCTACCTGAGGTCAAAACTCTCTGGCTGCATGAATTGTGGTTTGACTGGACATAGCACAGCCAGACCAAGCCAGAGCTATATATATGGAGGCTTGGCCCTCTCCAAAGTGCCGATGAAGCAAAAAATCTTGTTCACCTGTCGTAAGTGTCACTGAGCCGGACAAGGAGCTTCCGAGTATCTGGAGAATAGCAGATGTCCTGGACCAGTGTGTCACCTATGGCAGTCTGTGAAGACAGAACAAAAACTTTTCAGGAATGTGCCCTGAGTCAAGTCCTTGATCCTCAGTATGGGAAAAGACCTCTCCTGAACATCCATGGTCTCCAGTCCCCAAGTTTTAGTTAGGTTTCAGGGCTTAAGGTGTTGCCCAAGAAAAAAGATCAGTTTCCTGGTAATTAAAGGAGTTGAGCTTACCCCTCTGAGTGCTAAAGACAGGCATTATTCACAGTGTTAATAGGTGCCTCAACACACAGCTCCTTAAAAAGGTATTTTCCCCACAGATCAGAAGAAAGACTTAGGTCCAGGGAGACACACACACACACACACACGACCCAGGTCTGAGGATCCTTGGAGTCAATGCTCTGAATCACTACTGTCTACTGTCTTTTGAGATGGGGGGCTTCGTGCCACCTCTTAGAGTTGTTGTGGGGATTAAATGAAATAATATGTGTGGAGTTCCTGCAACAGTAACTAGAACATTCTACATAGCAAGGACTTAGGTCTGGCAGTTTGGTTGGACATGGGGACTATAGGTCTCATCTTAATGCTGCTTGGCTTGGCAAGCACACTTTTTAAAAAAATGTTTTCATTGATTTTAGAGAGAGTGGAAGAGAGAGGGAGAGATAGAAACGTCAATCGCTGCCTCTTGCTTGCCCCCCACTGGTGATCGGGCCCACAACCTGGGATTGAACCAGCAATCTCCTGGTACATGGGATGATGCTCAACAACTGAGCCACACTGGCCAGGCGGCAATCCTTTTCACTTGGATTGTATGCTGCAGATCAACAACAGCAACATTCTTAAGGATACCTTGATTCACCCTTTACGAAGACTGCACACAATCTTGTTCATTCTAATAACATTGTTTTGCTTGTTTATTTGTTGGCTTGGGGTGCTGAGGGAGTTTATGAGGGAACAAAAGCCCCTCCATGCACTACCACTGGCTGCCGACAAGGCAGATGACAATGGTGATGACATAGTAGTTGTCTGGCTTCAGGTTTTGTGATTCTCTTTAGGGACTGAGCTGCTCCAGATCCTAAGGCCAAGACTCCCTCCACCTTGGGTGATGCCTGGGCTGTCTGCCTCTGTGAGCACAGCTAACCAATGTCACCCTCCCTGGAAATGGGAACGCTGGCAGCCAGATCCCATCTGCTCTTCGGAACCTTTCACTCTCTCTGAAGGGTCATCCAACCCTTCTCTGAATGGGTTCTATGTGATTTGAAAGTTCAGTTCTCAGCTGGGAATCTCACTGCCAGTTTCTAGGAACAAAAAAGGACAATGCTTGTGATAAATAACCCGTTGTTGTACCCATTTTACAAATTCTGACCCTGGGGCTTAGAGAGATCAAGTTAAGATCTTTCTACCATGAACAAGATAGAAAGAACTCTGAAGATTTTCCATTTTCCTGCCAACGTGCTTCAAGCAGTTCTCCCCACCCTACCATGGAGGCTGATGTTAACAATGAAAAGTCAAGGAAAACTGGTCAAACTTCTCATCAAATAGATTCAACATTAAAATCCAAACCTCAGCCCTGGCCAGCGTGGATCCGTAATTAGAGCAGGGGCCCTCGCACTGAAGGTTCAATTCCAGGTCAAGGGCACATACCTAGGTTGCAGGTTTGATCCCCAGCCTCAGTTTGGGGTGCGCGTGGAAGGCAACCAATCAATATGTCTCTCTCGCATTGATGTTTCTCTCTCTTTCCCCCAACCCACCTACTTCCACTCTCTCTAAAAAAAATCAATGGAAAAAATATCCTTGGGTGAGGATTAACAAAATAAATAAATAAAATCCAAACCTCAAATGCACTGTTCACTGTTCATCCAAGCTTAGATTATAACATTGATACTGGAAGCAGGCCTGTCTTTTGAGATCAGATGGTACCGAATCTTAGTGTTCAAACAATAACAAGTGTTCAAATTACATAAGCTCAGGTTTCATTCTTTTCACTAACCTTTATCAAGTCCTTTACTTCCTGGAAGTCCTAGATGGAGAAAAAGACAACACCATTGTAGAGCAGGTATGCTTCAGTTGTGCACAGTTTACCGATTAGAAAGAGCTCATTAGAAAGTGCTGACCTGGGGGTGGGGTGCATAAAGAGGCAGGTCCAGGACAATACCATCCTCCACTTTTCTGGCCTTTAGTTGTCCACTCAGTGTGACAAAGGTTAGAGTGCTATTCACATTTTCTGGCAAAAACAAACAACAGTCTTATTTTGTCGATCATAAGACTCTGAAAAGGAATCAAGAAATAGGAAAATTGCCCTGGCCAGTTTGGCTCAGCGGTTAGAGCGTCGTCCCGTGGACCCGAGAGGCCCAGGTTCGGTTCCCGCTAAGGGCATGTACCTCGGTTGCAATTTGTCCCCGGCCCTGGTTGGGGTTGTGTGGGTGGCAGCCACTCGATATGTCTCATGTGTCTCTCTCATATCAATGTTTCTCTCTCTCTCTTCCTCTCTCCCTCCTGCTCTATATGAAAATAAAAATGCAAAAATAAATAAATAAATAAATAAATAAATAAATAAATAAATAAATGGAAAAAGAATAAAGCATTAAAAAAAAAGAGAAAGAACTAGGAAAATACACTTTGTTCTGTGTTTGTATGTCTGTTTCAGTCACCGGTGTGTTGTCTTAGGTTCTCCGGCAGTGCTGCCCTTTCCTGTGAGGAGGCCCAGGTCTGGTTTGCTGGGGTCCACAGTGGGAAAAACCTTCACGGAATTCTAACTTGAGAACCAGGAACATGGTTGATTAGACTTGGCATCATACTGCAAGGCTTCAAATCCCAGCTCCTTACTGCTTCCTAGCTTTATCCTTCAGCAAATTATTTAACCTCCTTAAACCTCAATTTCCTCATCAATAAAATGGGGTAATAATTAAATCTGTACCATTTTATTTTACCAGTAAAACAAGGTAATAAGGCTACCGCATAGGGATGCTATATTTTCTAATGCGATTTAAAAATATCAACCTACAATAACTATAGAATTATAAGCTCTACTAGTCAAAGATATGCCAAGGGGATGACAAATGGAACATGCAAGTTATGAACAACAATCTGATATGAACAAATCAGATTTATTTTAAATAAACCAAGCTATACATAAAATTTTGATTTAAAGATTGGACTACAAATGCTGATATAATAGCCCTCCCTCCATGTTACTGATACAACTTGAGCCACATACTTGACTTCAGTGTGCATAACATTTTTAGTGAAAACTAAGATTTGTTACATAATTCTTTCTCACTCCTAATATTTCTGTAAAACTTAACCATATCTCAAAGGTACGGAAATTCAGCATCGCTTATTAACTTTCACTGAGTATAAAATTCACATTCTGAAACACAGTTTCGTTTTCTCATTATAATTGGTGTAAGGCATTATTTACAAAGCACTTTTTCATACCTTATCTCACCTAACCTTAAAACCACTCTAAGGCCCTGGCTAGTTTGGCTCAGCGGTTAGAGCATTGGCCTGCGGTCTGGACAGACCTGGGTTTGCTTCCCGCTAAGGGCATGTACCTCGGTTGCAGTTTGTCCCTGGCCCTGGTTGGGTCGTGCAGGTGGCAGCCACTCGATGTGTTTCTTTCACATCGATGTTTCTTTCTCTCTCTCTCTTCCTCTTTCTCCTTCCTGCTCTATCTGAATAAAAAAATGGAAAAATGTCCTTGGGTGAGAATAAAAAAAAAAAACATAAACACTCTAGGGCCCAGCCAGTGTGGCCCAGTGGTTGAGCTTTGACCCATGCACCAAGAGGTTGCCAGTTTGGTTCCCGATCAGGGCACATGCCCAGGTTGTGGGTCCAATCCCCAGTGGGGAGCATGCAGGAGGCGGCCAATCAGTGTTCTGTCTCATCGATGTTTCTATCTCTCTTTCTCTCTCTCCCTTCCTCTCTCTCTAAAATCAATAAAGAAAAAAAATTTTAAATAAATAAATAAAACCACTCTAGGGGCATCTGAGGGCTATCACTACACACCTCAACCTCATACCAACTAATGTGGGGTTTTCTTTTCTTTTTTTTTTTTATCCTCACCCAAGGATATTTTTCCATTTATCTTTAGATAGAGTGGGAGGGAGGAAGAGAGAGAAACATCAAAGTGAGAGGGCCACATCGACTGGTTGCCTCCCACACTACCCCAACGAGGACCAGGGACAAACTCCAATAGGGGTACATGCCCTTGACCAGAATCAAACCAGCAACCCATTGGTCCACGGGCCAACACTCTAAATGCTGAGCCAAACCAGACAGGGCTCAGTGTGGGATTTTCAAATCCAACTTCAATAAAACCTATTTTTCAAGACTGAGTTCCTAGCCCGGCCTGTGTGGCTCAGTGGACTGAGTGTCGTCCCATGGACTGAGAGGTCAGGGCACATGCCTGGGTTGCGGGTTCAATCCCAAATAGGGGATGTGCAGGAGGTGGCTGATTGATTTATCTCTCTCACATCAATGTTTCTATCTCTCTCTAAAAAATCAATAAATTCCTGCACTGGCTGGTTTTGCTCAGTGGTTAGAGCATTGGCCCGTGGACCAATGAGTCATGGGTTCGATTCTGGTCAAGGGCACATACCTTGGTTTGTCCCCGGCCCTGGTCAGGTTGTGCGGAGGCAACCAGTCGATGTGGCTCTATCACATCAATGTTTCTCTCTCCCTCTCTCTCCCTCCCTCCCTCCCTCCCACTCTATCCGATGATAAACAAAAAAGTATCCTCAGGTGAGGAATTAAAAAAAAAAAAGACTGAGTTCCTAAACAGTATTTCATGATGTTTGCTTGCCTTCATTCTAGTCCCCTAACCACTGAAACTAAAATTATCTTTTTTTTTTTTTTTTTTTATCCTCACCCGAGGACTTTTTTCCATTTTTTGTACAGATAGAGTGGGAGGGAGAGAGAGGAAGAGAGAGAGAGGGAAACATTGATGTGAAAGGGACACATCGAGTGGCTGTCACCCGCATAACCAACCAGGGCCGGGGACAAACTGCAACCCAGGTACATGCCCTTAGCGGGAACCGAACCCGGGTCTCTCCAGACCGCAGGTGGACACTCCAACCGCTGAGCCCAACCGGCCAGGGCTAAAATTATCTTTTTTAAATGCATAGTGGAACCCTGGCCGGTTGGGCTCAGCGGTTAGAGGGGCAGCCGGCGGACCAGAGAGACCCGGATTCGGTTCCCGCTAAGGGCATGTACCTCGGTTGCAGTTTGTCCCAGCCCAGTTGGGGTGGCAACCACTCGATGTGTTTCTCTCATGTCGATGTTTCTCTCTCTTCCTCCCTCTTTCCCTCCCGCTCTATCTGAAGATATATGCAAAATGTCCTCGAGTGAGGATTTAAAATAATAATAATAAAATAAAATGCATAATGGATTTCATTATAGAGGTGGCCTAACTCTCAGTGACATCTCCTGCCAATCACCCCTGCCCTCAAGAAGCTCCAGCCCTCTGGTTATACAGACTGTGCCTCAAGGGCTTTGCATCTGTTGTTGCTTCTGCCAGGAATGCTCTTCCTCACACTCTAGCTCTTTGTACAGATGGTTTCATATTCCTCAGCCTAAAGGTCCCCTTCTCTAGTGGATGCTGTTGTCCTAAATCTTGCACCTCCCCTCAGGGCCAGCACTAGATGAGGCAAGGAAGTATGGAGGCACAGAATTTAAGGAGGCACTCACTCTCAGGTGCACCTTGAGACCTTGATTGTCTCACCCTTCACCCAGCCCTGACTCAGCTGGTGACTGGCCCCTCTCAGCTGAGTCCTGCCAGGGGACTTGCCCTTGGCTGAATAGAGCTACTTTACCCAAACTCCTCCTGCTTTTCTGGGCTTTGGAGACTGGCTGGTGGAGGGTATTAAGGCCTGAACCTTTGCTTCTATTTGGAACTACACTGCTTGAAGGACCTTCACAGCATCAGATCTCCCTGTGGATTTGGCCTAGGCTTTTCATTGTTGCTACCACTTTGCAATTCAGCTTCTCCCTCTGTTTAATCCTTTCTTTACTCTCCTACCAACACTGATCCCAATAATACTGCCCTAGTTCTTCGGGCATGCAAATGTGTCCCAGAATCTGCATCCTGATGGAACCCGCCCTGTAACACCTTCTCTTACTATCCCCATCTAAAGCAATTCCCGCCCTGGCCGGTTTGGCTCAGCGGTTGGAGCGTCGGCCTGCGGTCCGGAGAGACCCGGGTTCAGTTCCTGCTAAGGGCATGTACTTCAGTTGCAGTTTGTCCCCGGCCCTGGTTGGTCGTGCGGGTGGCAGCCACTCGATGTGTCCCTTCACGTCGATGTTTCTCTCACTCTCTCTCTCTTCCTCTCTCTCCCTCCCACTCTATCTGTACAAAAAATGGAAAAATGTCCTCGGGTGAGGATAAAAAAAATAAAAATAAAAAAATAAAAATAAAGCAATTCCCCAAAGAACCTCCTTTTCTAACTTCTTACTCTTTACAATTTCCCTCTGTCATACAATCTTTTTTATTTCATTTAACTTTCTGTTTGTTTTCTACAATGTTCATGGCTGCATCCCGCTCCGATTTAGGACATTTCCAAGCATCTCTCCTCTGCCCCAGTCCCACAAAGCCCTGGCCTTCATCTGTTGTACTAAATGCTGCTTAGATGGCAAGTGGTAGGATTGAGGTGCTGCATCCTGTCCTCACAAGGTGCATGTATATAGTGGGCACGTGTATCTTTAAATTTCAGAGTAAAGAAGCTCTTGTTGTGAAATGAATTTCAATGTGGGTGGGGACATACTGGGGCAAAGTGTGCCTTTTGGGTCCCCGATAACACGTGTGACACCCATTCTGCCTTGTGAGCTCCCACCCACAGATACCAGAGACTTCCGAAATGAAATAAAATGGCATTCCATGGAACAATGCCCATGGCTTTCCAACATGCCTGGCACATACTCAAAAAGGCCAAAGTTTTTGAAGTTTGCTGTTTTGTTTCTGGATAATATATTGCATGAATAAATTCTGCAAAGTCTTATACTGGTCACTTGGTTCATCAGAAAGAGTATGAGAACTTTAAAAAAATATTTGCTATTTGCTAAGTGATAAGTTTTGTATTTTTGTTTTTTAATCACTTTACTTGTTTTGTAAAACAGCACAGCTGCAGAAGCCAGGGTAGCATGGCCACAGAGAGGGACCTCACTCGCCGGTGTAAACCACCTTAATCCAAAGCGGGAACCTTCAGAGAAAGATAAACCAAGAGAGACAAGATCATTCTCATACAAGTGAATCAAAGACTTTTTATTTTTCTTATTCTTTTCTAAATTTTTCATTAGCGTGAATTACTTGCTGAAACATGTTGTGAAAGGAGGTAACACGAAGCATGCATCCTGGGGCTCCCTGGGGCTAGATCTGGGGCTGAAACATTCAAATTAATCAACCCCAATCCCTCAGATTAACTGAAAACCAAATCAGAATCTCCCCCCCATTCTCCTGTCTGCATGCAAATAGTAAATGGACATTTCCTTTAAATACCATTCCCCCACCAGAAAAGTAGCTATTGTACCATTCAAGAATGGTTTTTAAAAACGCTTATTTACTTTGTGTGAAGTTGTCAGTTGGGTGCAGTTTTCGGATAAAAGCAGTTTCTGAAAGGTTCATTTCCCTTGCAATTTTTTGATGCATGTCTTCATCCAATTTCTAAATTAGAAACAAAAGGTTATTGAGACTCCAGAAACACAAATCAGACTTCCTTGGACAGCAACTGCCATTAGTTAATAACACAGTTTATTAATACTAAAACTCACATGTTTAAAAGGAAATAATTGCCAAGGAATTCAAACACTTTTATAAAGATCGTTTTTCAGAAATCCATGCTTGAGGACCTTATGAAGGGCGATAGATGTACAAAGCTAGAATAGACTGAGAACCCTACTGGCCTGGCCTGGCCTGGCCTGGCCTTTGTGAGATTATAACCTACTCTGCCTGAGAGCGTGTGCTCTCTTCTAAAAATAATCTCCACAAATAGCAAGTTCACAGTCTCTCTTTTTCTTTTTCTTTTTTTTTTTTAATCTCACCCGAGGACATTTTCCCATTTTTTGTTCAGTTAGAGCGGGAGGGAGAGAAAAGAAGAGAGAGAGAGAAACATTGATGTGAAAGGGACACATCGAGTGGCTGCCACCTGCACGACACAACCAGGGCCGGGGACAAACCATAACCGAGGTGCATGCCCTTAGCAAGAACCAAACCTGGGTCTCTCTGGACCGCAGGCCGACGCTCTAACCGCTGAGCCAAACCAGCCAGGGCTATCCTTTCTTTATCTTTCGCTTCCCTCAACCTTTATGACAAGAGTCTCTGAAAGCATTAAAGCATCCCACATTGTAGCCAAGCTCACCATCTATTGGTAATAAATTTCCTTGCAAATGGGCTGTTTTGTATATCAACTAGAACACATGCTTTACTGACCATCAGCTCTTTAATCCTCTCTACCTTGCTGTATAACGCCAACTGCAATTTTAATTTCTATAACTAATTTCTGTCCCAGGACACTTCAAATGCACCTGCTATTTGCCTGACGGACAGACATAATGTAGAATGTTTGATAGTAGCAGCCCTCAATATACATCATATGCAACTGAATTGCTACACTGGAACCAAAGGTCAAGATAGTGGAGAATAATGAAAAGACTAATATTGGTTCAACTTTGAGAGCTTTAGAAACATAAGAAAGAGGCTGCATTCATTTTAAAATACTGAATTTTAGTTCCAGTAATTTTTCCATTTTACACTGCAAGCTTCTTTCTTTTCTTTCTTTTAAAATTTATTTTATTTTGTTACAGATGTTTCTCCTTTTTTACCCCATTGACACCCTCTTCCCCATCCCCACCACCACGTCCCCAGCTTTGTTGTCCATGTCCATTGGTTATGTGTACATGCATATAAGTTCTGTGATTTATCACCTCTCTCCCCCTCGCCACCCCCCTCTTCTGAGGGTTGTCAGTCTGTACCCTACTTCCACGTCTCTGGGTCTACCCTATTCCTCAGACTGTTATGATCATTATATTCCACAAATAAGTGAGATCCTGTGGTATTTGTCTTTTTCTCCTTGGCTTGTTTTGCTTGGGATAATACTTTCCAGGTCCCTCCATGTCATCTCTAAGGATAAGAGATCTTTCTTACAGCTGTGTAGTACTCCATTGTGTATATGTACCACTGCTTTTTTATCCATTCGTCTACTGATGGACACTTGGGCTGCTTCCAGATCTTAGCTGTTGTAAATAGTGCTGCTATTAACATCGGGGTACATATATTCTTTCTGATTGGTGTTCAGGCTTCTTAGGGTATATTCCTAGAAGTGGGATCACTAGGTCAAATGGCAATTCAATTTTTAATTTTTTGAGGTAACACCATATTGTTTTCCATAGTGGCTGCATTCCCACCAGCAGTGTACTACAGTCCCCTTTTCTCCACATCCTCACCAACACTTGTTGTTTGATGATTTGTTGATGGCAGCCATTCTGACGGGTGTGAGGTGATACCTCATTGTTTTAATTTGCATCTCTCTGATGATTAGTGATGTTGAGCATTTCTTCATATGTCTCTTGGCCATTTGTATAGCCTGTTTGGAGAGGTATCTATTCAGCTCCTCTGCCCATTTCTTAATTGGGTTCTTTGTCTTCCTTTTGTTGAGTTGTATGAGCACTCTATATATTTTGGAAATTAACCCCTTATCTGATGTATCATTGGCAATGATGTTCTCCCATACAGAGGGTTTCCTTTCCATTTTGATGGTTGTTTCTTTTTCTGTGCAGAAGCTTTTCAGTTTGATGTAGTCCCATGTGTTCATTTCTTCCTTTCTTTCTGTTGCCTTTGGTGATGTATCACTGAAAATACTGTTGCATATGATGTCTGAAATTTTGTTACCTACATTTTCTTCTAGGATTTTTATGGATTTACAGGTCACATTTAAGTCTTTTATTCATTTTGAGTTTATTTTTGTGTATGGTGTAAACTGATGGTCTAGTTTCATTTTTTTTTGCATGTAGCTGTCCAATTTTTCCAACACCATTTATTAAAAAGGCTGTCTTTACTCCACTGTATGCTCTTGCCACCTTTGTCAAATATTAATTGAACATAATGTCTTGGGTCCATTTCTGGGTTCTGGGTTCTGTTCAACTGGTCTATATGTCTGTTCTTGTGCCAGTACCAGGCTGTTTTGATTATAGTAGCTCTATAGTATAACCTGATATCCGGTATTGTGATCCCACCTACTTTGTCCTTCTTTTTCAAAATTGCTGTGGCTATTCGGGGTCTTTTTTGGTTCCATATGAGCTTTTGAAGTGTTTGTTCTAGTTCTGTGAAATATGTCATTGGCATTTTGATGGGGATTGCATTGAATCTATAGATTGCTTTGGGTAATATGGACATTTTAATGATGTTAATTCTTCCAATCCATGAACAAGGTATGTGCTTCCACTTTTTTATGTCTTCCTCTATTTCTTTTTTCAATGTCCTGTAGTTTTCTGCAAATAGGTCCTTTACTTCTTTGGTTAAGTTTATTCCTAGGTATCTTAACTTTTTTGCCACGATGGTAAATGGGATTGTTTTTTTTAGTTTCTCTTTCTGTGAGTTCATCATTGGTGTATAAGAATGCCATCGATTTCTTGACATTAATTTTGTATCCTGCTACTTTTCCAAATTCATTGATTAAGTCTAGTAGATTTTTGATGGAGTCTTTAGGGTTTTCTATGTATAATATCTTGTCATCTGCAAATAATGACAGTTTCACTTCCTCTTTTCCAATTTGGATCCCTTTTATTTTTTCTTCATGTCTGATTGCTGTGGCTAAGACTTCCAGTACTGTGTTAAATAAGAGTGACAAAAGTGGGCATCCCTGTCTTGTTCCTGTTCCTAAGGGAAATGTTTTTAGTTTCTGCCCATTGAGTATGATGTTGGCTGTAGGTCTTTCATATATGGCCTTTATTACGTAGAGATATGATCCCTCTATTCCCCCATTGCTGAGTGTTTTTATCAGAAATTGATGCTGAATTTTGTCGAATGCTTTTTCAGCATCTATTGATATGATCATGTGGTTTTTATTCTTCATTTTATTTATGTGGTGTATCACATTTACTGATTTGCAAATATGGTACCAGCCTTGCATCCCTGGGATGAATCCCAGTTGGTCATGGTGAATAATTTTTTTGATGTGTTGCTGGATCTGATTTGCTAATATTTTGTTCAGGATTTTGGTGTCTATGTTCGTCAGGGATATGGGCCTGTAGTTTTCTTTCTTTGTAGTGTCTTTTTCTGGTTTTGGAATTAGAATTATGCTGGCCTCATAAAACAAGTTTAGAAGTCTTCCTTCTTCTTGAATTTTTTGAAATAGTTTGAGGAGAATGGGTGTTAGTTCTTTTTTGAATGTTCGGTAAGACTCCCCCGTGAAGCCACCCGGGCCTGGGCTTTTGTTTGCTGGGAGAGTCTTGATTACCTCTTCAATTTCCTTAGTTGTTATTGGTCTGTTCAAATTTTCTCTCTCTTCCCAGTCCAGTTTTGGGAGACTATGTGTTTCTAGAAATTTGTCCATTTCGCTTAGATTGTCAAATTTGTTGCCATATAATTGTCCATAGTAGTTGTTAACGATCTTATGTATTTCTGTGGTGTTGGTTGTTACTTCTCCTCTTTCATTTCTGATTTTGTGTATTTGGGTTCTCTCTCTTTGTCTCTTGGTGAGTCCAGCTAAGGGTCCATCAATCTTGTTTATCTTTTCCAAAAACCAGCTCTTTGTTACATTGATCCTTTGAATTGTTTTTTTGGTCTCTATGTCATTTATATCTGCTCTGATCTTTACTATTTCCTTCCTTCTATTTGCTCTGGGGTTTTCTTTTTGTTTGCTTCCTAGTTCTTTAAGTTGTGAGGTTAGATAGTCTATTAGAAATTTTTCTTGTTTCCATCTCAGAATTGCTTTCGTGCCCTGGCTGGTTTGGCTCAGCGGTTGGAATGTCGGCCTGCAGTCCAGAGAGACCCGGGTTAGGTTCCCGCTAAGGGCATGTACTTCGGTTGCAGTTTGTCCCCTGCCCTGGTTGGGTTGTGCAGGTGGCAACCACTCGATGTGTCCCTTTCATGTCAATATTTCTCTTTCTCTCTCCCCCTCCCACTTTATCTGAACAAAAAAACAAAAAAAGTATCCTTGGGTGAGGATAAAAAAAAAAAAAGAACTGCTTTTGCTGCGTCCCATAGATTTTGTGTTGTTGTGTGTTCATTTTCATTGGTTTCCAGGAAGTTTTTAATTTCTTCCTTGATCTCCTGGGTAACCCATTCATTGTTTAATAACATGCTATTTAGCCTCCATGTGTTCAAATGTCTTTGCATGTTCTTGTTGCAATTGATTTCTAGTTTCATGCCATTGTGATCTGAGAAGATGCTTGATATGATTTCAATCTTCTTGAACTTGTAGAGACTTAGTTTGTGTCCTAACATGTGGTCTATCTTTGAGAAAGTCCTATGTGCACTTGAGAAGAATGTGTATTCTGTAGTTTTGGGGTATAATTCTCTGTAGATATCTATTAAATCCATTTGGTGTAGTGCTTCATTTAGAGTCTCTGTTTCCTTGCTAATATTTTGTCTAGAGGATCTACCCAGTGATGTCAGTGGGGTGTTGAAGTCCCCTGCTATGATTGTATTGCTGTCCATTTCTCCTT